TAAAAATATTATTGATATTAATTTATCAATAATATTAAAATACTAATAATATATATATTTTATTTATTTAGTAATAATAAATATATATCATTTGATATATTAACAAAAATTATAATATATGTTAACTTGAATAGACAAATAATTGTATAATTTTAAAACATTGTATATATATATTAAAATTATTAAATTTTTAATGAGAGAGACTAAAATCGCACAATTATGATATTTGAGGGATTAAAATTATTTAATTAAAAATTAAAAGACTAAAATCACACAATTGCAATCTTTTAAGAACTAAAATTACTCAATTAAAACTTTGAGGATCAAAATTGCACGATTACAATACTTAAGGGATAAAAACGCAATTAAGCCTAAATTTTTATTCTATTTAAAGTGTAAGAAAAAATATACTGTATTTTTTTTAAATGTGGCACTCCTGTCGTTAGCTTTTCCTATATTTGTAATTAGGTCATTAATTTATCCATTTAAAACTCAAAATCGATTTATTATTACAATTGAGTATAAAAAAAACAAGTTATTGCTGAAAAAGGAAAAAAAAAGTCATCTAAATTAATTTTAAAATTTATGAAGAGGAAAATTGAATGAATCTCCTTAAACACACGTTGAGATAAAAGGGCAAAGTATGTAATTTCGTATTTGAATGAATCTCCCTAAACACACACAAATCTCCCTAAAAACACACACACACACAAATCTCCCTAAAAGTATGTAATTTCGTATTTGAATGAATCTCCACACACACATCAAAGGAGTCTGGTCACACGGATTCACTTATGGTCATCTTATTGGGAAAAACCCAAGTCCCACATCGACTAAAGATTAGGCAATTAAATAGTATATAAGTGGAGAGCAACCCTCACCTTACAAGCCGGTTTTGTAGGGTTGAGTTAGGCTTAATCCACTATTCTAACATGGTATCAGAGCCATTTAGATCCACTTTAAAAATGGGCCACCCACTATTCATTGATACATGCACCATGGGCATGAGGGGGTGTATTTCAAGTCCCGTCAATTAGAAAAGGGCCACCTACCATTCATTGCTACATGCACCATGGACATGAGGGGGTGTATTCAAGTCCCGCCAATCCTAGATCATTAAAAAGGGCCACTTACCATTTATCCACGTACCAAGCCCAATAGTGCTGGACGTGAGGGGGTGTATTGGGAAAAACCCAAGTCCCACATCGACTAGAGATTAGGCAATTAAATAGTATATAAGTGGAGAGCAACCCTCACCTTACAAGCCGGTTTTGTAGGGTTGAGTTAGGCTTCAATCCACTATTCTAACACATCTTGTATTCAATCTCACAAGTGAAACATAATTGTGAAATATCTTGTTTGGAATTGGATATAAGATCTTGTCGCTTAATCATTATGCTTCTTTGGAAACCCATTCACCCTCTAATTTTATAAACCACTTTCTGTTTAAACTGAGTCAGAAAAGTTTAATATAAACAATTAAATCTCCACAATCCACTTTACTCTTTAGTTCGTTTTGTAGGGTTGAGTTAGGCTTCAATCCACTATTCTAACACATCTTGTATTCAATCTCACAAGTGAAACATAATTGTGAAATATCTTGTTTGGAATTGGATATAAGATCTTGTCGCTTAATCATTATGCTTCTTTGGAAACCCATTCACCCTCTAATTTTATAAACCACTTTCTGTTTAAACTGAGTCAGAAAAGTTTAATATAAACAATTAAATCTCCACAATCCACTTTACTCTTTAGTTCGTTTTGTTAATATACTTAATTAGGTTGAAGAAACATTAGCTAGGATGGTGATCACATGCATGTGCATCAACTCTGTGATGAATGATCACTCAATTAAAGATAAGAGAATGTGATTAAAAGTTTAAAACAATATTATTTTTCACCAAGCACTCTTCATATATGCTTGTTGCTTACGTAGAGTACAGGTCCTACAAGAATACTTTGAAACGCCTCAAGTAAGTGTATAAAAGATGATACCAATGACAAAGGTTAAATGTAGATCGAAATTCATGATCTGAGATCAGCTTCTGTCAGGGTTCCTGATTGATCAAAATCTAGTTTTCTAAAATGATCCATCACAACTAAAATATCTTCTTGTCTGATCTTTCCCATTTCCTTCAACTTGTACAAAGCGAACTCTGTAGGACTGGGAAAATGAAAAATGTTGAATGTTAGCATTCAATGACTTAATTCAGCTACATATTGGATCAATCTATCAATGCTAGAAAATGGATGTTACAAATATTTCATTGCAAATTATGGAGAGAAGTTTCCATTTAAGGTTACAACTAATTTTTTTTCATTTACCAATACAATAGTACTTGTTCCACCTTACCTGACAACATGGTCTCCATCAAGATCAGCTGCCTCAAGATCAATGAGTGAAAATTTTCGTGAAAGAACTTTTTTTGCGAGTGATTTTTGTCTTTTTTCAGTATAAAGTTCAGCAAGATAAGCAAAAGATTGAGCTAAGCAAATGGTGCTGCTCAATATCCAGAACACAGCAAAGAAACGACCAATAGTAGTTGAGAAGCTCTTATCTCCATACCCTAAAGTAGTGACTGTGGAACAAACACAATAGAGGGCATCAACAAAATCTAGATTTTCAACAAAATAGAGAAAAATAATTCCTACAATCATAAGCACCAAAAAGATGGATGCTGTCAGCATGAATTTGTATTTAACTCTGTTAGATTCAACCTCTTTGGTAAGCTCTTCAACATTTTCACCCTTCCTTAAGGTTCTAACTAAGAATATTTCCTGTTTTTCAACAATGTAATCTGCTGCCTTGCTGAGAATTATGCCAACAAGAGCCATGCCACTGAAGACATAAATGCATGCAAGAAGTTTTGCCAAATTGCTATCTGGCACAAGATCTCCATATCCAACAGTTGTCATTGTCACAACACAGAAGTAAATGGCATCAAGAAATCCATTGGTTTTTATGCCATTTATATGATTGCTTGCGAGAAGGAAGCAAAGGGTTCCTCCACCTAAGTATGCAGCTAGCCATAAGCACACTGGCTTGAAATTAAATTCTGCTTGTGGTAATGCATCTGTGTGTTGAGGGTGTGAAGGGTTTTGGACACCATTTTCTTCTTTCTCTGAAGAATTGCCACGTTGAGGCCTTCCCCTTTGGAGGTCATTTTTCTCATTCAGAAGAGAATTATCTCTTGATTCTGAAAGTAATGATTGTCGACTCTCATCAATACTACCCATCAGCTTTCTTAAAAACCTTCATATGTTAGCATGCCACCTGATAATGTTAAAGTTGTGAGGAACTTAATTTGCTCTTGCCATGTTACTGATCTAAAGTTTGATGTCTGAATTCTTGGCAAACGTCATAGAATAAGAGAAATACAATGAATTGTAAAACTGTCTTGCGCAATAATAATCACCAACAAAATCATTATATAACCCGCAGGTTATATAAATCATTCTAAAGTCTGAACTGAGGATAATCAATACATTGTATATTCACGTCATTTAAATGTTAATTCTTTTTTTGAGCACATGTGATCTCTAAGGAATGTAGCATTCAATTTTTGAAAGATGCACAGCTAGTTTAATGACAACAGACACAAAATACGAGTATAGTAGATTACTTTTAGCTACCTGAGAGTTTTTAGTAGATCAACTTGTTCAGAAAAGGAATTGGTGATCAAACTTCTGGAATTCTATTAGATTAACCAAAAGGAGAATTCTAATGTTCTCTTCACCCTTTGAGAAAGGTTAGAATTCATAACAAAAAGCCAATAATGTCTCTCGTACTTCCAAATGGACGTTTTCCTGTTTTACACTTTTCCATCCTTTAAACCGAAGTTGATGTGGCTTTTCTGATCCACTTACATGTCAAGTGCCCCTGAAGTAGTCAAAATTATTATATTAGGAAAAGGAACTGTAAAGTCCTAATTTTAAGAGTATTCGGTAGTTTTTCATCTATCAACAAGTATTTAATACTTTTTTTATTCATTCAACAATTGTGACAAGAAAAATACTGATCTACAAAGTGAATAATGGCCATTAATTTTGAAAATTATTATTTAACTGCATGTCTTGGTCTCTTGGAGGGTTCAACTGGATTTCGAATGGCTGGATAAGCAGACTGGCCCAACATAGCAAAAAGGCTGAAAACTCAAGGTTTAGGTTTTAGCTGGGCTTGGGCATTTAAATACCGTGACTTTCTTCCTCGTTGTTTTCCTCAATGAGATCATGCCCAATGGAAATTGGAAAATAGTGGTATAGGTGTTATGCACAGGGGGTTACCACATATATACACATGTCTTCATGTTGGTGAGATATTATTCGCTTTGGGCCCAAGCCCTCAAGAATTTACTTATGGACATTACTCAAAAGGCCTCTCGACCAATGAAGACAACTATGTGTATATAAACTCATGTCCATCCTTTTATTTGAACGATGTGAGACTTTCCTTGTATCTCAACAATCCTTCCCTTAAACAAAGGATCACGGTTTACCCTTTTCCCTGCAGCGGAAACTACGAGTATTATCCGATGGTGGCCCATAGAGCTCACTCACGCTATGAGTGCACTGTTGCTTTATCATGACCTCCCTCGTGACAGCAAGACACGCTTCCTAACCCTCCATGTTACTAGGAAGCCTCTCTTCCACATGGATCCACCGTTAGGAAGACTTTCGACACAAAAGATTTCAAACTTGGATCCACCTACCAGCCATCATACTCGTCGAGCCGGTCACTTGATCAGACCATCAGCTCTGATACCACTTGTTGAGCAGGGGTTACTAAAAAACCGTGAGGGCTTGGGCCCAAAGCAAACAATATCTCACCAATGTGGGGAGACATGTGTATATGTGTGATAATCCTCTCGGTGCACAACAATAGTAATGATGTTGCAAACAAAAATAAATAAGTTAGAGCTTAATTCTTTTGAGAATGTGGTTAATTCCTTACTATGCTCTTCATTATAAATAACACGTGTCATTTTCAAGTTATTTTAAATTAAATTATTTTGAAATAATAATGCATACTTTTTAAATATAAACAACTTTTAATTTAATATATATTTTAAAATTTCATATGAATTAATTATGAAAATTTACTTATAATTTTTAAAAATTCTCCAAAATATATATATTTTAATATTTTAATTAAATATTAGAAAAATATGCAAATCACGAAATAAATATTTGTTAATTTTTTTTTTAAAATGAAGAAAGATGTTACTTAGAAGTTTGCACTTAACTAGTTAACTACTTGTTGGTTTCAAGTGGCATTATTTGAGGGGTAATTGTGCTTGTGTACTTACCTTCTTACGATCGTGATACTGTACCGATTATGTATGATTTGAGGGGTAAATAAATTATATATGATTGGTTTCCTTTTCCATGTTGCAAGGCATCAAGCTAGGGTTCCTGACCCTTCTAGGATATTAATTGTGAACACCGACTAAAAGTTTAGGTGATACTTTTACATAATTAATTCAAATTTTAATCCTCACTTAGAGGAGGGTCCCTCTTGTCCATGGCATTTAGTCATTAAATATTTGGTAAGAAATTGTTACTTCATAGCCACGATTGAGCACTCAGTATCTGTAACTGTTCAACACATTAGAAGTAACACAATGTTCCCATCATAGGCGTTCTAATTGTCAATTACAGTATATAGTATCCACTAGTTTTATATTTGATATTTTTGTTGCACCACGTTCATAATGTTATGAGATAAATTATATGGGGATAGTTATGGTACCAATCACTGAGGTTTTGGATGCATAGAAATGGAACCACGTGGAAACTTTGTGTCCGGGGTATTTGGGGGGCAATTCTACGGTTTATTTATTAATACAAAAATCATCATAAAGTATTGGAAATTCTGCCTACATTTTCAATCTGATATATTTTTACAGTGAACCACAGTACTAAGTAGGAAGAGCATGAGCCACATGAAAGTAGTAAGTAAGCTTTTCAGTTTTCACTAATCAAACATCGTAAGTAGTAAGTACGTGGAGAAACTTGAAAACTCTATCCACTGTTTTCTACCGTTAGTGATGGCAACACTTTGCTAGTGACTGAGAAAGGCACACAATAATTAGATCATTCGCACTGTCATTGCTTGGGGGTGAAAATAAGTTATGTGGTCTCATAAACGATTTATTTGGTAGAGCAATTTTCTTGAAACATTAGGTGCAGATAAAATTGATCGTAAATAATAAATGGATAATCTTTATAAATACATATGAGTACAAATATTTTTCTTATGTTTATAAATTTATAAGAGTAGATATGATAGTATTTATATGTGTGAGTACCAACTAAATAAAATTATTTAAATACATAAAATAATTAACAAATATTCATAAGTATTTATATGTATCCATAAAATTCATATCTATCCACTTAATATCTATATAGATATAAAACGGATATGTAATGAATTTTTATCAGATGAAATGGGAATGAATATTCTATTACCTGCTCTCACATGATTTCATTCCCAATCCTAATTAGGTGTATATATAAATACATTTTAATTTATATAAAAAAATTTCTTATAAGTCCACATATCGAAAAGTTTATTCAAATAAAATTTTAGTAAAAATCATAATTTTTTTTAGACTTACCGTACGTCAACGTATTTAAAATGTAAGTAACATTATTTGTATTAGAAATCCTGAAATGATATATTTTTAACTCGATTAAAGGTCAAGTTTTGGTTTACATCCGTCAACATATTTATTTTAAAAATAAATCTATTAACTTATTTGAAAATCTTATTATACCAACTATTATTTTTTCGGTTAATGGTTGAGATTATTTGTTTTACCAAATAACATCCTACATTTGTTGGTCTAAAAGAACAACAAAGACAACATTTTTATTTTTAGGAAGGCGACAGTTAATTTTAACCTTTTAAGAATTTACATAATTAAATACCTTATATAATTAGAATAATTGGATTTCTGAACCATTATAATCGACTTAGTAACAGAAAATTAGAGTAAAATAAATATGTTTTTAAATTTAGATTTAATGTTGTTATTATAATGTGAATGATAAAAAAAAAGTGGAGCTCTGCATGTGTTTTCTCTTGATTTTATAATGTTTGGATAATTTTAATAGTACACCCACTAAAAGATTTGTGTGTGCGAACTTTGTATATTCTTGTTCTCTCTAGAATTTTCCACTTACATATATTGTTGGCTTAATTTGCTTATCATGTCTCTTCATCTGTTTACGAATGGAATATATATATACCCTCTAGAATCTAGTGTTTTACTTTCTCTATGCTCCAATATCTATCTCCCTGTAACCATATATATTGAATGACATTGATCTTCAATTCACATTTTCAAGGCGGCCAATAAAAAATGAAATGAAAAAAGTATTTAATATAATGCTAGAAGGCAAGAAGAGAATGGAATACATAAAAATAAATAAATTAAAATTATAGTGACTACACTAGCCGATAACGGCATGATTAACAGGTTGAAAAAGAAACAAGGTATAGAATCAAACATAAGGTTTTGTGCCTTTGTCATTTTAAAAACAAGACTAAAGCACTTAACTATTAATTCCTCGATCATTTTTTATTACATAACAGATGCATGTATTACACTGCAATTGCTTGTCTTTGAGCTTCAATCCTTATCTCCTCCTTCATTTTCCTTATGAATTCTTCAAACTTTCTGTTCAGCTCATCTGCATTTTCTACTTCTTCGTTTGTTTCCGTTCTTGTATCTGCAACTAATTCTTCATCTTGTGTCAACATAACTCCAGCATATCCACTTCCTCCTTCTTCTGCGATAGAATCTTCACTTATCACTTTTCCTTCGGTTTCTATAAACAATGTGCCACGTTCAGGTTGATGAGAATATTCTTCTCCCCTTTTCCCTTGCTCAATTTCTTCTTCTTCAACCATATGAGGAGCATCGGTCTCTCCAACTGCCTCTTCAGAAACTTGTGCCTTTGTATTGGTGGAAGCGTGTTGAAACTCAATGTTGAAAGGTGACATGGCTAGAAGAGCAAGGATGACATTACAGATGAGAAACATGTATTTTCTTTCAAGAGTGCGTGTAAGCATGGAGAAGAGGCACGTGGAGATGTACGCATTGAAAGACCGAGGGTGTATGGAAAAGCCAGAAGAGAGCCATAGAAAGAAAGAAAATACAGAAACTGATAAAACCATATGCAGAGTTCTTCTCAAAAACTTGTTGAATTTCTTCTTGATATCACCCTCGTATTTTTTATCCATCCTAGAGTGTTATTCTGTGAAAGCCTAAGTTAATGAGAATTTGAGACTAAAAAGATCGTTGGCCTTTGAATAGAGTCACGAGTTATCTTAGCTTGTGTAGATTATAGAATTTGGTTGGGTTGAGTGAACAAACAATTAACTTCTATTTATAAGAAGCATGGAATTCAGGTGCTGCTAAAAATTTACCAAAATGGCCTAGTTTTTATTACGATACGGATAAGCACTAAGGGTATGCATGACATGAACAAAAGTGGAATTTTCCAAACAAAGAATTATGGGTAGGAAAGCAAACAACCAAACCAAATTGAAAGTGCGTCCCAACTTAGCTTATCTCTGACAGAGGGAATCCAACATACTGACATTTAAAACATTTAATTAAAAAAGAAGTTGTGTGAAGTTTCTAGCTGTGACCAGTCTCCGCAACAAGTACATGTACATGCATGCAAATTTAATGCTTACCGACAATTTATTCAGCACATTTACTAAAACTAGTTCTGGATTATGTAAACTTTATAACACTAAAA